TTTATCTCGTGAATATTCGGACTACTAGTAGTATAATGCACGATTCTGCCGAGGTCGTTCGGCCCGATCCGGAGTAGTGTGTACACTGCCGAGGGTCGAAGGGCATGAACCAGAGATGCACCTCTATATACTGTCGAGGCGTTCGGCCCGCTCCACAAGAAAGGAAGAAAGTTTCCGAATCATAAGATACGCGTTTACAATAAAGTACATGAGCACAATGATAATTACATCTCCTTACATTTATCGAATACCTTAGCAACATCTCAAGGTATTAAAGCTTAACCTGATACTTTTATTTCTAAATCAGTTTCAGTTATAACTTTAAATAAATAAGCCAGCAGAACAAGTTCAAATAATTTAATTATTATAGGATAAGTTCCTAAGTCTATCAGTACATAGACATGCTTTAGCTACGTACGTACTCTCGTCACCTCGTACGTACGTAGTACCCACAACTAGTTGCACATAACAATAAGTATCACCTAGGGGGTGGGTTCCCCCTCACAGGGTTAGACAGGAGACTTACCTCGCTCCGAAGTTCCATAACCGGCTCCAAAGCCCTCTAACACCTCAAACTGATGCTCGTCGCTCCAAAACTAGTCAAACAATGTGCAAACCAATAAAAATATACTCTAATACTCATAACAAATCAATTTAGACAAATTCCCAACTCGGCTCGAAAAGCCGATAAATCAACCCTCGGGCCCACGTGCCCGGATTCCGAAATTTTTTGAAGATAAACATTACCCATAACATTACAAACTCAAATATATGATTTATTCTTAATTCCATGCCCAAATTCGTGGCCAAAATCCAAAAAATATCAATTTCTAGGTTTTCTACCAAAACCCCAAATTTCTACAAATTTCCATGCTTGAATCTATGTATAAATCTTGTATTTAACTGACAATACGCGAGAATCACTTATCTTGATGTAGATGATGAAAATCCCTCCTTGAAGCTCTCCAAAATTGCCCCAACCAAGTGAAAAATGAGAGAAGAAGAGACAAATCCCGCTGTTAAAATGATTCGGCCCAGCGATTTCTCGCACCTGCGGTGCCTTGGCCGCATCTGCGGTCCCGCACATACGACAAAATCCTTGCAGGTGCACATTTCCCTTACATGGCCAAGCTCCGCATCTGCGGACAAAAGGGACCGCTTCTGCGAGCCCATCCGCTCCTGCGACTACTGCTCTCGCACATGCGGTCACGCAGGTGCGCCAAAACTTTCGCACCTACATGCACTGCCCAGCTTGCCCAAAACCGCTTCTGCAACCTTCCTGGCTGCTTCTGCGGCTCCGCACCTGTGGCCAAAAACTCGCAGGTGCGGTTACACCAGATACCAACTGCCTTAGCATTTTTCTTAGTCCAAAAATCATCGGTTAAGCACCCGAAACTCACTCGAGGCTCCCGGGACCCCATTCAATCACACCAAACTGTCCAATAACATAACACGGACCTGCTCGAGGCCTCAAATCACATCAAACAACATCGAAATCATGAATTACACCACAATGCAAGCTTAATAAACTTTTCAACTTCAAACTTCTATATTTGATGCCGAAACCTATCAAATCACGTCCGATTGACCTCAAATTTTGCACACAAGTCACATTCGACATTACAGACCTACTCCAACTTCCGGAATCGGTATCTAGCCCCGATATTAAAAAGTTCACTCCCGGTCAAACTTCTTAAAATTATCCAAATTTTCAACTTTCGCCCAAATGACCCCAAAATGACCTTCGGACCTCCAAATCCACTTCCGGACGCGCTCCTAAGACCGGAATCATCATACGGAGCTATTATCAGACTCGGAATCCCAAACGGACATCGATATCATTGAAATGCACTTCAACTCAAATTTATGAAATTCTTCCAAAATGCCAACTTCCATAATAGGTGCCGAAACGCTCTTGGGTCATCCAAGACCAGCTCTGGACATATGCCCAAGTCCAAAATCATCATACAAAACTGTTGGAACCTTCAAATCCTGATTTCGAGGTCGTTTACTCAAAAATCAACCCTGAGCCAACTCCTCCAACTTAAAGCTTCTGAAATTAGAATTTTCTCTCCAAATCAACTCCGAACTTCTCGAATTTTAATTTCCACCACACGTACAAGTCATAATACCCGAAGTGAAGATAATCAAGGTCTCAAACTGCCGAATGACGTGCTAGAGCTCAAAATGACCAATCGAGTCGTTATACATTGACTTTATACTTTCAAGTGTTTGAACTGTAGGTCCAAAACTATATGTCTTTCATATGAAACTAATTCTACTTGAATTGTTTCTTCAGACTTAAGATCTTTATATATATTTAATGTTATCATAGATGTAATTGACGAACATTTTATATCTGTTCCAACCACCTTTTTTCATAAAGACATGACATAGAGATCTCTTCATTCATATTTTCAGGTACCTGAACCTCTCCTGAGATTTTATGAAGTATTATGTCATGTGATCTTCTAGATCACTTGCCTCCTTATTATGATCATTTTGATCATTTGCTCATCTTCTTTATCAAGAATTTTATTTGAAACCGAATTGTCTATACGCTTTAAGCGTACCATAGACTTTGTCCTTCTAGGACTTATTCTAATAGGAGTATTTGCAATAAAAATATAGTTACTTTCTTAGGCTCAGCAAATGCATCTGGCATGATTTGCAAATGAATTATCCTTTTATGAACTTTAAGTTCATATTATCTTATTCGAGGATCTAGATGTACACATGATAATTCATTCCACGTAACTTTTTCTCAATTGTTTATCATGTCTCCTCCTCATGTTAGAAAAACTAACTTGCTTTTCGAACTTTGAAAATCCACCTTTGTGTGTTATGGTGTTAATCAAAATATACACCGCATATTAATAATAATAAGATGGAATTATTTGGTTCCTGACCCTGAACCACTTGTGAGGGGAGAATGTAATATACTTTCGTATATAACGTATATCAAACTAATATAGATAACTTTGTTCTCATAAGCAATAGTTTAGCTATTAAGTGGAGGCACTTAATAAATTATTTTGCTAAACTAACTGTGATGTAAACCAACTTATCAAGATAAACTTTCTTGAATAGAAATTCTGAAAATTATGCTCTAAATTAAATTATTGAGTAAGTTACCTCGCAAACCTCAGGTTGCAGGTTAATAATAATCGCACATGTAACCATCTCATAGATGCATCTTATGAGGTATACATGGCAGGTGAATGGACTCATATTCACCTTTGATATTTTCAGCATTCATGGGATTCAATCCCTATTTTAGTTGGTCTATTGATTAATGAGAACAAACAACATAAGAGAATTCGTAAAGAACTTTCTAGTTCTTTAATATTTACCCATGTGATTTCTCTTTTATTTTACACATCATACTTAAATTATAGGCTAAACCAATTATGCCAATTGGAGAAATTATCAATATTGATAAACTTCAAGTTTACGTCATGACGTGTGCAATTATCAATAAACTCCAAGTTTATTATGATATGAGTTTTTATATCAATATATTTTTACTTTATTGTGGCATTCTTTTATTTGTGTATTACAAACTGAAGAATAAAGCGGGTAACTTTTCACATATATATTACCCCGCTACAAGTTGTAGTAGTAGAAGCTATTAAATCTTTCTTTTATTTATAGTCTCAATATAACCAACCGCTTTTGCGAATACTTTAGAAACTCAATAAGTTTCTTTGAGACTTACTACAACACAATGCCTTATTGATAATCAATTTTATTTCTCCAAAATAGTATAATTGGCTCTTCTAGAACTCTCAATTAATTTTATATTATCACATATTCATCAACATCCATATGGTGAATATCTCTTTCAAGGAGAAAGTTATATCATTATGGTCATATTCAAAATCATTATAAGCAAGATACGTTGCTTCTATTACTTTTGCTCTATAATAATCACATTGCCATAATATTTTGGCATACTTATAATAGGTTTGTGATAAATGACCATTCATGCCATAATAATAAAAATTATTTTTTTATTTCATCTCAAACTCCCTTCTGGAGGTGAGTAGTATAATCATTACCACTAGCACGTTCATATTCTTCCAAGAATGACGATGTATTCATAAATCACATGTTGTCACATTCACATCATGAATGGACCATAATCATCTAAATGTGTTTTACAAAATATCATGTCAAATCGATGACAAACATTACTTTCACAGATTAAAGGATTATTTTGAGAATCTTTATTATTCTCATTATCGCAATAATGACGATTATAATTTCGTCTATTGCCACGTCCACATCTATTAATACCTTCACGGTAATAATTTTATCTTTTTTCAGACTTATCACATGCTGCTACCACATTCTTTTAAGGGAGTGAGAATGAAGCAAATTTAATGGGACGGATTTTCACTACTTGTGCCTTAAATCCAGAATTTATTCTTAATATTTTATCCATGCACATGAAGATTTGAGGTCTCCATGTACTCGAGAGTTTCGCAAACGATGGGTAATGTTTGATTAATTGGTGTCTTAGTCTAAGTGATCTTTTAACTTTGAATGAATGAATGACTTGTTTCACCTTGTATTCCTCCATCCTAAACTGCTGTTGTTGTTATTTAAATAAAAATATCAATGTAACAAAAAAAATTGAAAGTAAGTATGATAAACGAAAATATCACATCAATAATGGGAATTTGGATTATTAAATGTATTTGATTTCTTAAAATTTATAGAGGTTATTAAAGTTGGAATGGTATAAGAAACGTCCAAATATGAGAAAGCAAGTTATTTAGATTTGAAAGGAAAGTGTCGGCAGTGCCCGAGATTAATTGACCTTTCAATTAAAAAGATGTTATGAAAAGAATTTATTTAATCAAAACCAACTAATCCTATTTCATAAAATAAATAATACTAATTTATACTAATGACTATTACTCAGGTAAAGAACTATGATTACATGATATTTATTCACTAGTTATTACGAATAGATAAAATAAAAATCAAACTACTCAATCATCTTTAACCACGGATCCATCACCGATTAAGAGGTCTATTTTTTCATCAGGGTGCTCAAAGAAATCTGCCACATCCAAGTAGGTGGTGTCAAAGATAAAATTAAATTCAGGGCCTTTATTCTTTAGAGATACTTGATAAAGCTCAACCAAATGTCTTGGTGTCCGACAAATATTTGTCAAATGCCCTTTTCCACCGCAATGATAGCATTCAGTTTCTGAACCCTTAACTTTTGGCTTCTCATCTTTCCCTTTCCACTTTAGGTAGTTATTTTTCTTTGAGGGGTGATTAACCCCAGTAAAAATTCTTCCTTGGCCATGGCCACGGCCACGAACAGGGCCACGACCTTTTTCACGTTTAGCATAATGTGAATACCCCTCATCCACTTCAGGCAATGGCGTAACCCCAGTGGGTCGTTTTTCGTGATTTCTCATGAGCAAGTCATTATTTCGTTCAGCCACAAGGAAAAGAGAAATCAACTCAAAGTACTTCTTGAAACCTTTCTCTCAGCACTGCTGTTGCAAGACCATATTGGAGGCATGAAACGTTGTGAACGTTTTTTCAAGCATACCATAGTCATTGATACTATCTCTACAGAGTTTCAATTTGGAAGTAATTCTGAACACCGCAAAATTGTATTCAAAAACAGACTTAAAGTCTTGGAGCCTCAGATAAGTTCAATCATATCGTGCTTGTGGAAGTGTGACTAACTTTAAGTTGTCATATTTTTCCTTTAAGCCATTCCACAAAATAAATGGATCTTTGACTGTGAGATATTCTATTTTCAACCCTTCATCAAGGTGATGGCACAAGAAAATCAAGGTCTTGGCACAGTCTTGGGTAGATACTTTATTTTTATCTTTAATGGTATCTCCAAGACCCATTGCATCTAAATGGATTTCAGCATCCAACACCCATGTCATATAGTTCTTACCCGAAATTTCAAGGGTAACGAACTTTCGTTTCATAATATCAGTTATAGTTAAAAGAGGAGAAAAATTATACTTAATCTTCTCAAAGAGCTTCTTGAGACAGTACAGTCTCGTGCTGATAACGTGTTATAAAACAATAAAAGAAGAAAAAGAGTATTGCAGAGAAAAGTAGAGAGAGAAATCTTATTGATTTGGGATGAATTACAATGAAATAGAACCCCTCTATTTACAGGGGGAAAATGACTTAGCCACCAAGTAACAAACCCTAAAATCTCTCTATAATATAGACATTCACCTTAAATACAATTCTATTTGTAACAAAAACTAAATTCATTTAGAATATACTTTTTATTTTTAATTTGCTTAGGCTCTTGCTTTCATCAGAAGATAACATCTGGATGCATCCGAATGTAGAATTTAATTGCGTGATTATATAGTTGAGCAGGGAAAAGAAGTGCAAATTAATTAAAAGGCTTAAGCAATATCTAATAGATTATAGATAAACAAATGTGATGCTTCTAAATAAAGTACTTCATATTAGATAATAACTTGAATTAAAGTTCCACATGAACTTATGCAAAAAATTTAACCAAAATCATTCCTATTATTTTAGTCTAACTTTCACTATATTCCTATAATATTTCACTTAGCTGAAACTATCCTTTTTGTTTCCTAAAGTTAACCAAAAACGTCCCTCCACTAGAACATCCATCCAATTCTAACGGATGTTTTATTTCTCATGTGACTTCTCTTTTTCTTCTTTTCCCACAAAGTATTCCTTAATTCTTCCTAAAAAGAACATAATTTGACTTGCAAACCCTACCCCCAATCTCTCTTTCCACGTATCTTTTCTCTCTGTCATCTTTCCCATTCCTCAAATGTTTTACTCATCTCTAATAAGTTAGTTATGTTTTTTCCTCTAGCTATATCCTCCAAATATGTTAGAGATTGAAAATATAATGACTCGGTTAATTATTTTGTGTATTTGAACCTTATTCCCCTATTTGACGCTTCACGTATGTATGTTTGTGGTTTTGTGACTTGCGGGAGCGGTTTGTTTGGCCTCGGGAAGGTTTGAGAATGAATTGAGATACTTCGTCTCATTTTGGAAGCTTAAGTTGTAGGAGTTGATCAATATTTGACTTTTGAGTAAACGACCTTGAATTGGTATTTTGGTAGTTCCAATAGGTTCGTATGGTAATTTTGGACTTGAACGTATATTCGGATTTGGATTTGGAAGTTACTAGGATGTTTTGGTGTTATTTGCCGGAAGTTGGCACCGAGGGCTGACTTCGAAGTTATCAGATATAGATTGTTGTTCTGGAAGACGGAATAGATTCATGTTATCATTTGGGACTTGTGTGCAAAGTTTGGATATAATACGTATTGGTTAGGCTTGAATCGAATGCTTGGTTTGAAATTTGAAATTTAATGAACTTAAGAGAAGCTTAACGTGTGTTTTGATCGTCGATTCTTGGTTTTGATGCTATTCGTTATGTTTTGAGCATTTGAATAAGTTCTAATTAGGTATTAGAACTTGCTGGCATGATTGGACGGGGTCCCGGGGGCTCAAATGTGATCCGGATTGGTTTTGGGCCATTTTCTCTTTGTTTGGAGTTGCTAGTTTTTTTATGTTTAGCACTACTTCGCGATCGCATAACTTGTCTCGCGATGGCGGAGAATATGGAGCTAACAGGTTGTTTTCCTTCAGCGCATTCACGAGGAAGGTGTCGCATTCATAGAGGGATGGAGGCAAAAGCTACACGTTCGCGTTCGGAGGTTGCGTTCGCGATGGGGAGGCGTCAGTCAATAGATTAGCCTTCGTGTTCGCGGAAGGGGCCCCACGTTTGCATAGGCTTAGCTGAGCCAAGATCGCGTTCGCGAGTGAGGCTTCGTGTTCTCTAAGAGGTAGTTTAAGTTGGGCAGTGTTTGGCCTTCGAGATCACGAAGGAGGGTCCGTGATCACGATGACTACACAAGGGCAAAATACTTAAGTTGGAATTTTGGAACTTTTACCCACTTTATCAAATTTTGAGCCCTAGACTTCGAGAGTGGGGGATTTTGAAGAGACAATTCACTACATCTTTAGAGCTAAATAATTTATACTTGGATTTGACTTTATATCATATTTTTTCATGGATTTCTACGCCTAACTTGGATTTATTTGAGGGAGGGGGGAGGGGTTGGCAACACTTTTAGAAAGAGAATAATTGAGATATAAACCCCGATTTGGAGTCGGTTTTGGATGACACTTGTATATTTGGACTCATATTGGAATGAGTGTTCGGGATTGGTGAGCTTTATCAGATTTCGGGATGCGGGCCTGGTTGACCTTTTGATTGAATTTGTGTATTTGATTAAAGATTCAATATTTATTATTTGAGTTCGATTTCTATAGATTCTTTGATGTTATTGGGTTGTATTTGATTATATTCGAGCCGTTTGGAGTTGGAATTTTGAAGATTTATCATCTTTGATGATTTTTAGGCTACCGGTGGAGGTAAGTGTCTTGGCTAACCTTGTTAAGATGGAAACTAGGATTTGACTTGACTATTATGTGTTTAAGATATTGGGGGTGGTGTATATATATGGTGGCAAGCATATATTCACTTACCAAGTTTATATTATGACCGAGGTGGAATCGGAATATTGTATGCCTTGTTTTGGCTTTGTGCTCATTTGATCCATGATTTATTTGACTTATGTGACTACGTTTGTTCTCTTATTCACGTTAAAATCATGCCAAGATTTATGATTATTTATGAGGGCATGGGAACTTATCCTTCATGTGTTGAGTTGCTTAAATTGTCCGTAGTCACATAGAGATTCTATGAGCACATATTCGTATGATTTTTATTAAGCCCTTGTGCACCTTTTTCTGTAATTCTTGAGCATATATATATTTAATAAAGATACTTGATTTGGACTGAGAATTTTGTAACCAAAATGTAAAGCGTGCGGATGAGATACAGTTATGGAACACATGACATGATGATCGAATATCGATTTATGAGTGATGCTATTATGCTCCTCTTTGCGCTTAGATTTGGATATGTCTCTCTGGATTCAGGTGATTACTCATGTTACTTTGGACCCTGTGAGCACGGTCGGTACATGGATTTTGTACCAGGTCGATACATAGATTTTGTATCTGGTTTTGGTGATACATGGATTATATATCAGGATACATGGATCTTGTACTGGTTTGAGCATGCATTCATATACTTGAATCAATTAGGAGTATTCACTTAACTACTAATTGCCGCATGATATCTTATATGCTAGTTGGGAGCCCCGACTTTGTTATTTGAGCATGCTATCTTTTAATATTAGATCTTGGCAGTGTTATGATTATTTCTTGTACTGGACAAGCATGCTTAACATCTTTCAACTGTTGATAGCTTTGATTCTTGTTATTCATAAGGTTATCTACTGTTGCATTTCTGAGTTCTATTATTTATATTTGTTGTTGTAAATATTCAAATGCATCTAACCTCGCCAATACATTTTCAAGGTTAGACTCGATACTTATTAGGTACCAATCATTGGTGTACTCATATTACGCTTCTGCGCATCCTTTTGTGCAGACCCTCAGGTGGGTCCTAGTATAGCTTCCTGATTGAGATTTGGTGACTGCACGGAGACATAGGGTGAGTTGTACTTCCTGGATTCACTTCGCAGTTCCTGAGTCCATGTTCGTTTATTATTTCCTGTCTATTTGTATCTCAGACAGCTTGTTATGTATACAAACTTGTTCTATTTCTGTAGGTTGCTTCTGTACTTTTGCCACCTAGTCTTGGGGGTTGTACTGTATTGGCCGTATTTATGTGTGTTATGGTGATATCAGATATTGTGACTGTTTTGGACTATTTTTGTATTTATTTGTAATAAGTCAGTGTTAATTAAAGGAAATGAACTTTATTTTGTGCGTTGTGAGTTAGCTTGCATAGAAATTTTGACTAGGCGCTATCACGTCCTTGAGGTGGGATTTTGGATCATGACAAGTTCGTATCATAGCCCTAGGTTGTGTAGGTCTCACGAGTCACGAGCAGGTCTAGTTGAGTCTTGTGAATCGGTACGGAGATATTTGTAATCTCCGAGAGGCTACATGATATTAGGAAACTCCCGTTCTATCATTCTTTATCGTGCGGCTTTCTTGATCCAAAGTTTGAATCCTTATCTTTCTATTTTCTAGCAAATGGTGAGAACACGCTCATCGGGATAAGTTGGGCGGGAACCAGCACCTCAGGATAGGGCCGTGAGAGGCCATGGTCGAGGTAGAGGCAGGGGTAGATCCCGCGCTGCAGATAGAGCCCCTGCTAGGGCAGCCGTTAGGGAGCCACTAGTATATCTGTGGAGGAGTATCTTTTTGATCAGGGTGAGCCACTTAGATCAGCTCAGGTTTTGGAGGGGTTTATTGCTACCCAGTACGTCATGATGATCTATTTAGATTTGTTGATCTTGTGGAGGGTTTGGAATAGACTGGGGTACTTCCTGTGGCA